TAATAGAGGTATGGGGAACGCTACATGACTGGTAAAAACGCGGGACACAGCACAATCGCGGGACGATGACGCGGCGACTTCTCAAATTTTTGATTGGAAATGGTACTAGTATGACGGAACTTTGATAAACCTTCGACAAAGTCCGCAGTAGGTTAAATTCGGTTGACTTGTCGCGTCTGCTAGTGGTACTTCTCAGCAATATGACTTGGGGGATTCGGTTTATTCATCGAATGTGGAATGTGAGATGGGTATCACATGGATTAAAACAAAGAGAAGCTGCTTAAGAAATTGGATTAGCCGCACAGAAAGGCAGCTATGGAGGAAGCGCTCTGCGCATGGAAGTACTGGAAGTTTCAGAGGTGTCGAGGCAGCTTTCGTGAAAGTGGCGCTTCGGCAATCATGGTGCAAACGTTTTTTTTGGCCAAATCGGTCACATAAAGCTAAGCTGACAGGCCGACAACGATTAAGGTTCGATGACTCGATATATGCAGTGGACGAGAAACAATCAGCAGGATGGGTCATCGACAGGAGCGCCAGATCCTAAATGACCTTAACACGAACGACTAATACAAGGAACATGTGACATGTATCGAAGGAATCATTTCAGACCGCAAAATTGTCACTTCAAAGAAACCGGCATGGTGGAACCGACCGGTGTGAGCAAAAGAACGATCGAGTTTACATAGTTGCACCCGACAGAAAATTGTTGGCTGCTGGTAACTTTGCCCGACGCAGCATATGTGTGTCTCTCGTGTCTCATCAGAAACAAATATTCAGTGATTGCATCGGCTCAAGAACAGGAAAAGCGTTGACGATCGACTATGAGTTGAAGGAATAATGTCACGTGGAGTACTTAGGGCTGATTCTCAATGGGAGCTTTGGTATGCTCGCATGAAAATCCAAAACAGGAGCGCTTTATCCAAAAAGTCAACCAAGCCATTCCGATGATAAGACAAGAAACGAAAGCATTGTTTACCGGAATCCGAACGAAAATCAGACACTCACAGCATTTCGAAGACATTGTGTACCGGGATTCGAAAGGTAAGCACATACTCACGGCATCCTTAACGTTTGACGACAAAGACACCACGCCTGCAGAAGCGCGCGATAGGATATACGAGGCTCCAATGAAGACTTTCTCAAAATGAGGTGTAAAACATATTGTCTTTTTTGTAAGTGGTGTTCCAAAAAAGTTGCGATATCCCTGCTATCAGCAAGAGAGGGATAACTTGCAAAATCAAGAAATTTTTATCATTTTATAATATTCAAACTATGCCTTTTTGAATTGTATATGATTTATCAGCGGATCAGGACTTGTAAGCATGACGATATTAGGCTTTTTTTATCGATGCGACATCGCTCATCAACATTCCATTTCGTGTAGCCCTTAGCAGACCGAACATGAACGGGACTAATATGGAAAAGAACCGCAGTATTCATAACCACATATTATTTCGACTGTATCGTGGGCGGCAGAGGCGAGCACAACATTCTATTCCATGATATCGCTCGAGGAATACATCCCATACCGACATTAAGCCGTATAAGTTGGCTTTCAAGATAAAGGCTTCATTGGATCGCTTACGCGTGCTCTGATCACAGCGTCACGTTCATGTTGACAATGCAAAGCGGAAAAAACTTGAACTTAAGAGCTTCAACTATATGTTTCTCAGCTATGCTGGAAGATTTTAAAGTTATAGAGCGCTAAGCCTTAAAAATGCCAGATGCTGGTGACCTGCTATGTGAGATTGGATGATCCTGAAGAACGCAAGTACGATAGGTAGAAGAAAGCACATAACTTTTAAGGAATAGTGATGAAGGCAGTGTTCGAAACCAAGTAAATCGACGGCCAGTTCAAAGTAAATTTATGGAAACTGTCGAAGATGCAGTCTGAGACGTCGAAATGGACGATATTGATCATAGATCAAGTGTAATCATACAGCAGTAGATGCCTCCCAGCGCTCTCCTGACAAAATATTGGAGCTAGCAGAGTATCGTCCATCTCTTTGCACGCAACAAGCAGATCATTTAATGTTTCGGCCTGGAATGAAAAGAAGAAAACGAAGATGATATTGATGCTCAGAAATCGCATAGATGATGAAGAGGCAATAGACGAGAATTGTGGTTGGCCAACACCATATCGTGCTAGAACTGACGAAAAATTATTTATTGCCGTTGCTATTCTTGCGCACACGGTAATGAGAACGGATGATATGAACTTGCCAACTTCATATGCTCAAGCAATGGTAAGCGACGATGCAGTGAAGCGGCGCGAATAAATATAAAGCTGAAGTTCGTTCCATCCGCCGAATCGGATAAAGATTTTTAGAAAAGAAGGAAAACAATTGCACGATTTCACCACGATGGCTCTTTGTCAAGAGGTGCGACAAAAATAACACGAATATGCTGAGTAACGTACGACTTGTCGCGATGGGTATCAACTATGCTACGATGATGACACTACCTAATGAAGAGGTCATACGTACAGCGTATAGGTCAAAAGCAAAATGAATTATGATACTGAAGGTCGGGGAGAAGAGTTTGTGAGCTCAGATGCCGATGCAACGAGTTGCTCGGCTCCACCAATCAACGGTATTCCTTATACGTAAGCAAGCTTCTGATACACTTGACATACATATCATTTAGCTTCTATGCATGACCACCAATAAAACGAAACGACATACTGCTTAATGAGCGCAAATTTTGAGTCCCGCATGTTCAAGTAATTCATTATGTGCACACGAGGGTGACGTGCCAACAGATGAGACACTTCCACAAGCGTCGGCATCTTTGGTCAGTCTACCGGTCCCGGCAGAGAGTTGGTCGTCTTTTGGTATGGAAATATTTTTGATCTCCATAAAATGCGTTTGGTTTTAACAGCGTTGTGGTCTTCTTCGACAGTCTATGCAAGATGGCTCTATTACTGGAAGCAGCAATATGATCCATCGGTAAGAACAAAGCTTAGTTTTTTTGGCAAAGTTTTAGCCACCATCGCTTGCTGGAGGTCTTTGAATCGGATCAGGATTTGCGCTCTACAGCGAAGTTCTGGTGAGCTTTGTTCGCTGCGCCAGGCGCCACTTTTGAAGATGACAACCGCCGAACAACCACAAACAGATGGTCGAATGTCGCGCGGTCAAAGATATCCTCCGCCTTTGCGCGGAAAAGGCGGAGTTTCTTAGCGAATTGTTCCCACACATTAAGTTCCTCTACAGAAAAAGCATATGCCTCTAGAGCTTTAATTCACTTTATATAAATGACTCAGCAAGTCCTCGTGCATCACTTGCAGCGGCTCCGATCTGTGAACGATTGGCTGATCAACTCATGCTCTGTCTGCTGTTTAGAATATTCAGCCGCGACTTCACTACATCGAACCGTTCACAGTTGTAGCAGAATGAAAGTTGGTTACACTCTAAGCATTCGCAAAGACATCTACTGTTACGTAAACTGGCTTGAAAATTACCGCAATCCCGCTCTTTTCAGCCGATCGGATGTGCATCTATCTGTTGGGGGCGGAGCAGCGTATATACCAGTCTGAAGCGGGGTTTTCCTATGACTAAAGTAGCGTTACGGCTCTCCACTGCCGGAAATTTCTATCTGATGGGGTAGCTTCGAGGGACATTCAAAAGCTAGAACATTTGAGTTTCAGCCGTGAGCTGAGAGGATCAAATAGACTCGACGTGCCGCCAAAACTAGGAAAAAATTATGAGATTCAGTCCAGGTGGGTCGATCTCCGCTGGCTCTGTGCGATGAGCAAGGAATGACTCACCTCCACATCGAAAGGCAAGTGGACTGGCGGGCCCACCAGGGCAGTTACCAGTTTCTGGTGAAGTATATGACATATCTATTAACCCAAACTCATTGAAACACTCGTTTGTCTGAATCAACATCTATGCTTAACGTAGTCCAACAAAAAGTACGACGTTACGAAGCACCAATCCCAACGTGGCGTCTGGGCTGAAGCTAATCGATTTAATTTCCACTTGCTAACAGTCAAGCTCGTCTCTTTGAAACAAATTCTAGAAACCTAGTAGAAAATATGTAACCAGGTCATGCGCTATTATCAAGTAAGTAGCGCTTTCCGCTGAGTCACTTCGTCGATTCCCTTAGACAGATGCCGACGGAGAGTGCACAAAGTTATAACCGGCAATGGTATCACGAGTATCTTGTCGAAGTGACACATCTGTTCACCATGGTTATTCGAGGAGCAAGCTACACATTGCGTGATTTTCAGCGCCGTTGTTTTCGGTACATTCGCCAGCTATCACTGCCAAATGAACACTTTCTGAGGAGTATACAATCACCCGAGCACTGCTGCTCGAATCGCAGCCGGTACTCCTGAGGAGTTGTGACCTTGTGACTAGAAAGGTTTCGAGACGTGACTTTATAGTGCCCGATTCGCTATAAGCTGTGAGCCGAAGGACCACACGTATAGGGATGTAAGTGATTAGACGAGCAACATTAGAGAATTAAATTTATGATCAAGACTTAGTCGAGTAGATATAAACCGTTGCGACTCTTGTGCTTTGAGACAAGCGAGCGGGGCTTCGTGAGCCAGCCCAGCTCATTGGCGACAAGGAGGACGTCGTCGCGACTTCCGCGGCGAAATTGCCTCTTATTCGGTGTACTTTGCCATTGTCTCTAGGGGGAGCAGAAGGAAGAGACCAGAGATTGAAGAGCGCTACGACCGTATTTCATCAAAAAACACCGCGATTCCCTTCATGAGGATACCATTTAGGTCGTTGGCAAGGACCCTCTTTCTCAAACATTTGCTTGGCCTTATGAGAGAAAGTAAGAGAGTGTAGAAATAGGCACAGTAGAATGCGAAGAGCGATGTGAAATTCCTAGCGCAATGAGTGTTCGATGTGCGTTCTCCTTACGCAATTATCCAAAAATAAAATAAGTGTGAACCCGGCTTCTGTATGATGAACTATTGCGTCCACAAAGACAACACTTTGCGTAGTTTTGTACAAAACACTAATTCTGATGAAAACAATAAACTCCTATGCTGTAAGCATCGAATCAAGCCACGGTGAAGTGATTGTTACCAATGCACTAGGCTTGCCTCAGACCTTATGTAGCCTCCTTCCTAAGCATGGGAGTCGCAACAACTTATATATACTCGATCAAGTCGTGATTATATACTTAATCCCTTAATGTTGCACGCCACGTCGTGAAGTAGCCCGTAGACGTGGGACTTCCGCTTACAACCGAGACTACACATTGTTTTGTTATCAATCAAAGTAGAAATGTATATTTGAGTACACATAACCATAAATATATGACACTTATGAAATTGAAAGGCTCTGCTAGGTAACCAGCACTCCCCATAATTTTAGCTGTAGTATCATGAGCTTGCATTAGGTCCTGCTCATGATGTTTATGGTACGATGTTTTGTAAAACTGAGCATCATGAGCATGTAATAATAAATTGAATCAGAAATGTTGCCCACCACATTATACGAGCCAGAATTAGCACAATCATCAGACATGTTTGGTTGTCTCTCGCTGCGTAATGTAGATGAAAGCCCACAACCGTAAAAAACTTATGGAATTATGCGTAGTTGGGAAGCCACTAATGATCCTGGAGCCAAATGTCGAGTTGTGATCGCTCCGCTGATTCTTGTAAATATTGTTTCTGTTGTTCTTGTTTTGGTTGCAGAGAGAGCGCACCTTCGAGAGCCGTCTGGATGCGAAAGGTTTTTAATTTGCTAGCCTTGGTACATATCTGCACCACCGAAGAATGGTGAAGCTGTGACTGCTCCATTTGCTGTACTTGCTTCATCTCTGCAGAAACAGAATGACGAGTTCAGATGATTTCGCTGAGCTTCTTCGCATGAGTTTAATGTTCGAACTGCACTTTCAAAAAGTATTAGTGAAGAGCTAGAGACATCACATGAGAAATAGTTATTTTCGATGAACTTTTTTCCCGAGAAGCTGGTGTTTTTCAGCAAACCGTTTGATTTAGAAAACGTCTGAGCCACAGGGCGCACGACTGTCGTGAATGTATTAGCACCGTGCTGTTCTCCATTACATGATGCTCTGAGGATTTGAATCTTAAAACGACTTAAATTTGATTCTCAACCCATTAAGTCTAAGGAATCGTTGACAAAAGCTCTGTAAAAACAGACGCTAATAGCATATGATGCGTTAGCATTCGACGTAATTACATTAAATTTATTAAAAAAGTACTAGACCATGCGTTTGATAGCTCGAGCTAATTAAGTTAGTCATTGGCTGTGCATACGCGCGTTCAGTATCAGTGACAAAAGGAACTGCATTCGTAAGATCATGAGCATGTAATTTAGATGTTTAATTTCCACAAAAGAAGCTTTAATGAGTGACAGAAGTAATACACATAAGCCAAAGAACGAGCATACGGCTGCAAAATAATCTTAGAGGACCAAACTGAATTTGATATCGTCGATGACGACCCTACTGTTAGGCCACGATCTTCACCTACTTTCGTGATTATATAACCACTTTTAGCGCTAAATTTCGGAACAAATGAAAGTGTATTCTTCACAGAATTGCCTAAGCCTGCCCGACAGATACATTTCATAAGGGTATTCGCCATCACATACGCTGTTGGAAACATATGTGCCATAAATTGTACTAGCATTCGATAGACAGTGGGCATCAAACATAGAAACATTCGAAAAAATACCAATATTGACATAAAAAAAAATTCTGACTATTTTTTGTACATTTAAAGTTCCTTACAATTTATCATTTGAATAATATAGCAGTATCAATGATTTGTGTATTTAAGCAAGTATCTATATATTGAAGGCTGGGAGACTTGAAAACAACGGGTATGTATCCGGAGCAAGGTCCACAGTTTCTAACTTTTTTGGTCTGGGGATGTACAACCCGTGAACAAACATATGACTAACACTGATTCTCAAAAATAATTCCCTCGTTACTTTTTGACTACTTAACTATTAGAATAAATCTCGACGTCACATCATCAGCTGCCGTGTCTGTTCCGACCAGTATACAGTCGACAAATGTCTCGCGACTCCACAACGCATCTAAAACAAATTATTGATTGTAAAACATGCACTGAACAAACTATTGGATTCAAATTTCAGCTGTTAAATCTCATATTACTTTCGCTTCATCGTTACGCAATGTCTGTCAACCTCCGGTATCCAACGTTTTCGGGCATCGTTTTCTTGGCGCTGGCATTTGCTCTTTTGGTTTATGTTACATTTGATACACTGGTCCAAAGCGACACAAATGGACAATCTGACCAACGCTACCTGAAACAAATTGAGCCTTACGACTTTGACCATAATGATGAGAGATATCTTGAGTGGCTTGGAAGCATTGTGCATCCTATTGTGGGACCTGCGGTGAAATTATTCGAGGATACCGCACTGCGGCTTACTATCCACGAAGAGGAATTCATAACTCACTTGTTTGCCGAACACAATATCGATCCTCTCCGAGAGAAATTTGTAGAGAGTGCTGAATTTCTTTCAGTTGCAGACAAGATCATGAACACGTTTTTCTTTAAAGAACAATCCATCAAGGCGATTTTTGACGGACTCAGTCGTGCGGCCGGCGAAAGTAAGGATAAAATGCTTGTATTCTTAGCTTGGAGCATTGGAGAGTTCAAGGCAAAAAGCGAATTCAAGATTATTGAACGGCATTTTGAATATCCACAAGACAGTAGAAATTACGCAGAAAAACTCGAAAAGGAGAAGGCTTTCAATCGCTTGAGAGATATTGTTCTCTCATTTGAACCGTATCTTCTTGAAACGTGGAGAAAAATGGGTTTGACATCAGAGAAGGTTAGAGAACACTTACATTTGGATCCAAGAAGTGCGAATTTTGTGAAGGATCCAAATTTGCCTCTGTACAAGAACTATCTCGCCATTGCACCCCCTTACGAATATCCAAATCCAATCAAGACTTTGCTGTTCCAGATGGAGATCATGGGCCTGAACCAGCATGAAATTGTTTCAAGGTTACTTGATGCTGAAGCAGTTACCAAACCCGACTCGATTGCAGGACAAATGTTGAATCACATGTTCTTGGACTGGGATAAACGATCAATACAATATGCCGAACTCTACAGGATTTTAGTACCGAGTCTCATCATCGACGAGAAGAGTGTTGTGAATGGGATTTTAAGAGTGTGGATCTTGTACTTTAGCAGACACAAGACTATTGATCTCTATGAGGAGTTGGCTCGGGTGATTGTGACTTCTAGACTAATTGAAAGTGATACCGGAGTTGAGTTGGTAGCAATACCGAAGAATTCTAACAACTTCATACCACCCATCCCTGAACGAGATTTTCAGCTGGCGGACACACTTGCTTCAAAAGTTTTTGGAAGTCGTAAGGAGTTCGTGACCCCGAAAGGTGAAAATGACGTAAAGGTTGTGGTTGAAAAAAAGGCTGGAGACGAAGAGATGTTATTTACGCAAAAGCTCTTTAAAGGATTGCGCATGTATTGGAGTCATTGTGGTCTTTCTCCCTATCAACTCTTCGATCTCATGAAATTGAACGAATTGACGCACGCACAACTTTTGAGCAACCCTCATCTCTGGACTTTTATGGTCTACACGACTGAGCATGTCCAGTCATTTGATGAGAGAGGAAATCAGATGATGATGACATTGGAAACGAGATTGAATGACGAAGAAATTGCGAGATTGATTACAGTGATGAGGGCCGAAGACAAAGATATTTTTCTTCCGCTTTTAAAGCGTGTGACTGATCGTTGGAATGAACGTGGCAAGTCCTTCCACGATCTCTTTATGACTCTTGGGTTGAAGAAAGATCCTTTGTCGAATAGCAATATAGTCCTCGTGTTCTGTTACTATCGCCAGTATGGTCATCCCGCCATTTTAAATATTTTGTTGCTTCGCAAGTTTCTAGAGACACAATATCCGGGAGAAGATCTTGAGAAAGTAATCTTAGAACGAATGATTTCGACAGAAGGCTATCACCGCAAGGTCTTATTTCAAATTTTAATTTCATCTTGGTTGAATGAGGGTCGTCTTGAAGAGCCTTTTGTATCAGTCGAAGGTGAGCTTCAAGGTAAATTGCAAAAAGCTTACGCAAAGGCTGTGAATACTGCCGTAAGGAAAGAAGAATTCGGGTTGGATTTAAAGTTTGACGAGTCTCAACTCCAAGTGGCGTTTTTACAAAGTGCTTCGAAGATGAAGATTGCGCTGACTCACTCAAAGAACGAGAAAATTACCAGGCTGAAGCCAAAGATTGATTAGGTGAAATTTAGTTTAGATATGCACTTCTAGCCAGAACACACTTAATGTCTTGTTGATATGTTGCCCACTTTATTTGCTCTTCATTTCTTTCACGAGTGTAAGCTACAAATTCATAAAATTCTCGAATTAGTTTTTCCTATGGTTTGACTTTTCTGTGTTTTGCTCTCCGTCTGACCGCAAATTCGATATATCGCTTAATCACTTTGGCATTTGAAAGATGAGGGATTTTGTTTTCTTTACTTGTCAGAGATGATTATGCTGGTTAGTTTGTTTGTAAAATAATTATTTGTATCGTATAAATCTTGATCTAATATAACACGTGTTGGCTATTGTCGAAGCGCAGGATATTTAGCAGCTCGTTATTGAGTGTGTGCGCAGCATTCCGGTCTAGTGTTTGCGTTCAATGAAGATCTGAGGCACAGATTGGAGTGTTTTATTTGCACTTCGATCAATGCGAATGCATTTGATACTGTTTCAAATTGATACGACAGCCTTTTGCCTTCCGCCTGCATGATGCTGTCCTTGATAAAACGTTTACAAGTATTTGGCGTTGCCTAATAATCGATCTTTTGTGATGCAGTAAAACTTTTAATTGATAAAGAAAGTAGCTGTTGCGGCGATACTTGGACAATCTCAGCCAGAACGCGATGGAGGTCGCGAACTCCAGTGAATTCGATGTTTTGGACTAAGAAAATGACAATTCAGTGCATTTAAATAATTGTGTCTGGCATAACTTTACGATGTAATGATGATGCTTACAACGAACTGCAACATATTTTGTGATATTGTGATGGAGCCAAGTCAGATGACACAAGTCAATACTGCAAACGACTGTATCTACTGAATGAGGAAACTTAATCACCACGCATAGTCTTTCAAAAGGCACTGATTGATATGATTCTCAGCAAAACGCTTCGCTATCTTTTAGCTTAAAAATATCATGTACATTGATTCAGTGTGGGAATTTCGTAAACGCTACAAATATTAAGCAATTTCAATCCCTCATGGACTTGTCAAACAAGGACAAGCATTCGAAATGATTGACAATGCAACTGCTGTTATCCGCTCGAAACATGAATGTGTTGGACTGGCAATGCATCACCTGTTTCTGTGGATTGATGAAGAGGAAACAGAATCGGCTGTTGATGAAGAGGTGTTCATTAGCCAAGCGTTCAATCTGAGCTCAAGCGTTGTAAGACTTGTTACCCAATAAATCGATCTAACACTTTAGAGTTGATTTTCACGTTTTGGCTTCCTGTCCGATGATCAAGTAGTGAAAAGTTGATGAAATTAAGGAAGAAGACGGAAATCGTCCTGAGCAATATCGAACGCGTTTGCTGCGGTGGTTGAAAAAGACTTTTCAGAGAAGAAAAATACGGAGCTTGTGCTGAACTGCATATCAAGCATTTATCAGAATGATCTGCTTTGGGCCTTTGGCTTCATTTGCCCATTACTCGAGCATTGAAGCTCTGCAAAGCGCCAAAGGCTCGACAAATGATTCGATTTGACAATGCGACGAGATTTAGCGTGAAGCCATGCTACCGGGAAACTGTTTTCGCTCTGATTGATAAAATAGAGGCAGAGAAAACCGCCTTTCCGTTCTTCGTTCTGGATGTGTTCTTACGAGCATCATCCATGGCGGGAATCTTTTCCATAGCGTGGTAACATACTCAACGATTTCTCATCGATCCTATAAAAAGCGCTCTTTATGTAGTCATTTTAAGCGATGAGTTTCATCACGAAAACGGCAACTAAATCTTCATGAGCCCATGACGCAAACGTCATCGCTCTCACCGCAAAACATACGACAGAGCCTCTCACTGAGGAAGAAGCATTTTCGACACTTTGCCTCTCTTACACTTTTTGTTCATCCTAACGGCAAAAAGTGTCACGATTTCCGTGGCGGAATTCTCGACGACACCCACTTTGAATTAAACGATCTAGATCAGGCACACGGAGTCCAGCTGGCTCGTTGGAAAGCGCAAGAGTCGCGATAATTCCCGCAGACCCGATTTTTGATTTAATCCATCAAAACATTTATGAGTGCACCATGACAGAGTCTTCACACGCCCTTTCCGCCTAAACACAGAGCGTGACGAGCGCTCGGATATTGGCACGCGAGCGCTTTCCGATCCTTCAGATTACCACTCAACAGTAGTTTGTAGCAGCGGTAAACTTTACTTTTCATGAACCGTTTGACGCTTGGCGACCCTGCCACTTCCGCCCATACGATCAGACCAATGAGTTTTCCAAGTCGTTGCGACAGCGGCACCAGAAGAATTTAATCAATGCGGACCTTCAATCTCCAACGAGCTTTTTCCCTTTCACTTTATCGGATAGTGAGCCTGCCGGCCAAGTATCTAGTACGCATGGAATTTAGCCACGCCTTGCCTGTAAGCACCACCGACAAATAACGATTTTTATTCAGATTACTCGTGTGAGCTCTTACGGTTATGGCGACAAGACAATTCTCACTAAGTCTATCTATCATTTACTTTCTTAAAGTTTGGATACATTTGAAATCGCACGACTAACCTTCATTTAATCAAATTAGTAAGATAATTTGAAAATAATTATTGATCAATGTATTACTTCTTGGCAAAGAATCAAACTTCTTCTTCTCTGCAATCGCTTCTTTTAATTCATCAGCTCGCATCCAACGTCATGGAGAATGCGTGGAGTGGTTGCCACGTCTCATCTTTCAATCAATCAGATGTAACAACACCCATGTAGATAAATACCTTTAATATTGACTAGTTTGATGGATTGACTGAGTAGGACAAAGATGGTTGACTACTTCAACATTACCAGTACGTAACATCCATCATTATGTGTCGAATAGAGAGAACCTACCTCACTGTAGAGCTCTCCATAGTTGAACCAACATTTGTCATTTGTGATCTGCTTGATTTCAAATGTTACTCGTCAGTGGCGTTGCCTATGTTTGAGCATTGTTCATATGGGAGCCAGTCTGAATACCCGTGCTACCAAAATTCGTTTGATACCGGAAGATGACGAAGCCTTCGTACCCATGACACAGTGTATTTTGATCTTGGTTCAGAGATAAAAACTTCACTTGAATTTTGAACCAACACTCGCTTGATTTGAAGTAAAAGTAATTGAATTTGCTTAGTATTTTAATTTATTTTTTCATATGCGTGTTAGGTTCTTAAAATTTTGGATACATCTAAAATCACATAATAACCCTCAATTTATTATATTGGTTAAATGAAAAAAAAATCTAAATTGAATATTGATCAATATATCACTTAAACAACCCATCAAACATGTCAATAATAATGTAATTGATTGATGTTGTTGCATTGATTGACTAAGATGCGAGACCTACTCCACAGTTAAAAAAGGCATCAGCAAGAGAAACATGGTGACGCTTTTCTGCGCGGTTGTCGGTGAGAACGGAAATGCATTCCCTGTGGATATCGACACTAGAAAGTCGGTGGGTGACTTGAAAAAAGCCATTAAAGAAGAGCAGATGTTTGATTTTGCTGCCAGCAAATTAGAGCTATATCTTGCGAAAAAGGGCGAATCGTGGCTGACTGAAAAGCAGGTGGCCGAAGGAATCTATGACACGAGCGATTTCAAGCCATTGAAGGTTGTGGCAGCCTCGCTCCATTTGGTCGGTTTGTCGGAGAAAGATGTTGCGTTTAAAGTTACGATGGAAGATGTCAAGACGATGAGCTTTCCTGTTAATGTCGTAGTGGTTGTTCCGATCGGAATGAAAAATACACTGGCTGCAAATCGAAGAGCCGCATTATCAATAGCAATCTCAGCAGCTGAACCGACGGAAATCTTCGTCACAATTGAAGAAATCCGAGATTCAGAGAAAGATTAGCAAGAGTTGATGTACTCTCAACGTCGTGGACGTCTTGTCCAATACAAATGCCGAGATTATTGTGCTCATATTCTGGACAAAGTCGACGAGTTCTATGACAAGAACGAGCAATCAACCCCGTTCATCTACGTGGGAGGGTCATCAGGCATGGGGAGATCGCAACGTGCATTTGCATTGGGTGACCGACGACCTTGGTATTACTGCCAGTTGGATCCGGTTCTAAACGTCTCTATAGCAATTTTACCTCAATATCGAACGCGT